ACATCAAGAGGGTAGACAGGTACCCTGCTGTGTATGTGATAAAAATGTACCAGACCCACATACAGTGTGTATATGATGAACATATTCTTTACTTTTTTAAGTAGGGATATTAATGGCATATATGTATCAGGTGGAAAAGTAAATCTTACTCATCTTTTAACATTTATGCTCAAGGATGCACAGAGCTGTGTCAGAGGAACAGCATTTTCTTTGGGGTGCGTAACCTGTCCTGATCTTCCCTTGATCACCGTGTCCAAGGGCGCAGCAGGAGTAAAAAGCCTGTGTGCTTACAGTGTGGAACCTGTATTAGGAATTAATTAGGGGGAGGGAATAAATGTCGGGTCACTCATGTCCCTCTTTCATTTGCTTCCAGTAAAAGTCTTGCATGTTTTTTTGTGCTTGTTTACCAGTATTCTGGCTTTTGGTTCAGCATAGTTCATGGAATAGGCTTCACTAATGTGTACTGTTGCTGCAGAGGACATTTTTCCTGTAAAATGGCCTTTCCTTGTGACTCATTGAAGCATTCATGTTAACACTTCAGACAGACAGTCTCTTAAGGATATCCCCTTTAAAAAGCAGCAGCTGCAATAGGAAATGGTTTTATGTGTTTCCAGCTTTGTGTTGACTTACTGTATTCACAAGTCTAGTCTTCTTTAGTTACAGTTAGTAAAGAGGGCAAAAGGGGCTTCTTTCCTTCTTGGGAAGGGAGCCACAAAAGGGTCATTTTGTCACTACCGCATGGAGGTGACAAACTCTTCGTCCCTGATACTTTTGTGCAGTAGTGACTCTGAGGACTGAATTATTTTGATAAGGGACAAATTGGCATAGTGAAGCTTAGGGAAATTATACACCAGTGTTGCAATAGTTATGAGTCTTAAAAAAATGCCTCAAAACCATATCACCTATGAAAAAAAATAGTTACTAAATTAATGGAATCACTCTTCTTGGTTTTCTGTCCTTCCTGGTAACTAATTTATACTACACCAAAAAACCCTCAGTCTTGAAATATTTGAGAATTTTGATCTTGGCAGAGGCGTGTCTGGGGAAAAGATACAGAAACTTGTGAAATGGACATTTTATTTCTTTCCATAAATTGTTTACTGCAAAAAACATCTGCCATTTCCATTCTATGGTTCTTGTCCCATATTGAATTAGTACCACCGAAAGCAGATCACCCCAGAAGTGAAGCCATAACTCTAAACCCCATTAGCTAGGCTTACTGCTGAAGCAAGTAGTCCCATCTTGCTCCTCTTCACGAGCCACCTTTCTGTTGTCCTGGTACAAGCATCAGCCTGACTACACGATGCCATGGATTAGGATGACCTATTCAATAGTAAAGGCAACTTATTTATCAGATTATTTCTGGCCTTAATCATTATCCGGCTCTAGTTCACTTTCCTGCACTGCTATAAGGAGAGGACAGTATGAGTGGGCTGCTTCAGTTGGCCAGTGAAAGTGTGTATGGGATCACAGTACTGTGGAAGGAAATGTTGGTTGAATACGGACCCACAGAAATACAAGCAAGCCCTAGGTACAGGAATAAAACCTGGAAAGCTGCCCTCAATCTAGTGCTTTATTTTTTCACTTCAAAACAAAATTAATGGTGTCAAAGTCCTTCAAAAAGTTATTTGAGATGTTATGCTTCTTATAGGCAGGGGAAAACAAGGGTAAAGTATTTCCTATTCTGCTCTTGCATGGAAATCTCTTTCAGTGTCTTAAGCAAATGTGGGAAACACTTTTAACTGGAAAAGGACAAAAATGCTGTACAAAAAAAGGGGCTTCAAGAGGCAGTGAAATAATCACAATAGCACATGAACTTAAAAACATATTAGAGTTTTTCTCGCTATTTGTCATACCCATCCCATTGGTTATCCTTCAGGTCTGTAATCTGTCTAAAAGTACAGCTCTAAAACTCTTATTTACAAAATAAAAACAAAACCCAATACATTCCTCAAAAAGCTCCTCTTCAAAAAAATGGGAGGAGCATGAGCTCAGTCGTTCCACTGTGTTTTCCAGAACATGGTGTCCTTTACCTATCACTGCAAAGAGCAAGTAATCCTTTTCTCCTGAGGTGATGAAGAATTTGGAGGAGACAGAATATTTGGAAAACTGTTAAAAGCATGAAGCGGCCTCCTACATGAAGTGGGACATTAATATGGGAGTTCTTACATGTGTTTGCCCTCCCAACAGTGTGGGATAGTTGAAGTTGTACATCCCAGATCAGCACTGCTCTTGTCTGCCTGCAAATTAACCCACTTTATAAAATTCCATGAGAGTTTCCATTAAAGAGGGCCCACCAGTGAAGCTGAGGTATATTTCAAGTTTAGGATTTCTGTACCAATTTTTAAACATCCTTTTGACTTTCCCTTACTAAGTCTCTATAAGACATTTTTATCCTCTTGGCTGCCAATAGAATAGAATAATCTGACAAAGCAAATTGTCTTCAGAGCATCGGTAGTATGTTTGTCCACTGTGCTCTCCTAGCATAGTTCCCTACTTGTGGAAACTGCAGAAGACAACGTTATGCTTGCATGCCACTTCATTGTCATTCTACCCCAAGGAGCAGTCTGCCTTAGCTGTAATAGCATGATAAAAACATGACATCTAGATGTCATAGGGACACTGTGGTTCCATGTGCATGTTTGAGCAGGTTTGGGAGCGTGGCTGTATGGAGGAGTGTGACTGTATGGAGGAGGACGAGAAGAATCTCTGGAGTTTGATGAGGAAGGACAAACCTGGTCAAACTGAGATATGAGTAACAAAACAGAAAACATCTTGCTTTTTGAGATCAAATTGGGTGTTGTTTTTTTTTAACTTAGCCCTAGGGGATAGTTTATAAAAGATTGTTTTCACCTGTAAGCCTAGAAATGCCTGGGCAGTCAGGACTGATTGAACCCAGGGCTGGTTATTTTGAAAGAGGTGATAGCAGGCTCTAGAGCCACTGTCTGTGGGTTGTGCTCCGAACACAGTGCTGTTGAAATGTGTAATGGGATCTGCGTAAACTCTTTTAAATCCATTTTTTCTACATCCACTTTTAAGTCTTGAGGGTAAGAATAATGACCCACTGCTAAGATGCAAGATGAATGCAGGTTTTCTGAAGCCTGTTTTGTATGTGCTTCTGATGTAAATGGCACAGATCTACTCAGGCTGAAATACAAACTTAATTTAATGACTCTTTGGGAGGGCTTTGAAGAGCTGACACATCTCCAATACACCAACTCCAATTTCAACTCTCTCTTATTTGTGATTCTGTTGTTGCCTAAAATGAGAGGCAAAAATTCTCCAAAAAATATTAGGTATAGATAAGATAGAGAGCAGCTCTTTTAATGAAGGCCGCCTGGCTCACGGAGTACAAAGGTGCGCCTACATACAGAGTTCTTACACTTTTATATCTTTTACTAATTATCATATCTAATGGGGACATCCAATCCTAAGACCCCTTTTGCCCTGGTACCAGCCTCAGAACTGCCCCACTGGAGTCCCTCCAAGGGTCTTGAGCCTTCTATCTTGCTTTGTCTACCATATCTCTTGTTATTCCAGTCCAGGTGCATGTCCCAACAGAATGTTCTTGCTAAAAATCTATTGTCTTGAAAAGAGGGTTAAAAGATGGTTAAACTGAAGCTTCAGGAATGTGGCACACAAACTGTGAGAAAATAACAGTCTAAAGTGAAAGAAAACTACAGCTACATTAAAATCTACAAAAAGCTAAAAATCTTGAAATTCTAAAGCATCAATGTAAAAAAATGCCTTGCAACCGTGTTGTTCTGCCCTGTTGGGCTAAGCTGAGATGAAACATCTTGTTCATATAATGTGCTTCAGTGCTCTTTTATGAACTTCTCTGCACTGAGACTAAGTTGTTGGAAGCCAGTCTTCTGTTTCCTTGTCTGCTGGGGTTTGGGGAGGGGGGAGAGGGGGTGGAGATTTGGGCCGGTTTGTTTTGTTTTCCAGAAATTATCATGTCTGCTTAGCAAATATGGAATTCTGGATGAGTAAATGAAGACTGACTTCTAACAGAGGGTTGGTTATTGAGGTGAAATAGTATCCCAGGCTGGGCAATGTAAAGAGAAACCCACCTGTTTGTATGAGATGCCATTAAAGTGCAGGAAGGTGGGGGTATAATCGAGGCCACTTTTGCAGGGGTTATTACTATAACAAAAGGAGGAGCAGTGTCCCTGTCCCAAAGCTGCATTATATAGTCTGGTGTCCCCCTGAAACTCAACTCCCATGTTTCTTCCTTGACAATGGGACCTGAAATAACCTCTTGGTTTTGGGTTTTTGTGTGTTTTCAAGTATGTTCTTGCTTAAGGTTTAATTGGCTCCAGTCAGTAGGAAAGGGCTCCAAGGCTGATTATTTATGGCTTACTGTCAAAAGTGGCTATAAAAAGGGCAGTATTATCTTGGAGATGCTGGGAAGGAAAATGTGGTGGGGGGAGGGTGGGTGGGGAGTGTGTGTGTGCACGAATGTGTTTTCTTGTACTAGATGAAATCAGAGTTTTGCTGTCTCAGCAGTGTGGTTTAAATTGAAGATTAACCCTTTGACCTTCACGGTGTCAAATCACTTACAGATGGATCACCAGTTATATTTTTTCTTTTTTTTTTACTTTCGGGGTGAAGGGGGGCTTTTTTTTTAAAAAAAAAAAAAAAAAAGGTTGTTTGTTCATGCAGCTGGGGCTTTTGAAAGGCTCAGAAGCCAATCTGATTAAAAACAGCACTTGGCTAAACTCTGCAAAATCCTACAAGCAAAAAAAAGTTTAATCCTCTTGTGCACAATGCATAAAGGGTCTGCTCTTTTCTTTTTGTAATGTTAGAGCTACAATTATTTCTGGAGAACTTATCATTTCCCTCTCTCCCCTCATCCTTCGCTGCACCCCCTTGTTATGCTGATGGGATTAAAGTGTCTGCTCTTGAAAAGTGTAACTGAGTTGTTATTGGAAAAGAGAAGTGGTATGTTGCAATTTTAGAAATATAAATAACCTTGCTCCAACTGTTCTTGTCTACAGCATCAGCAGAACAGAAATCAAGTGTGGTGGCAGCTTTTTCTCTTCCTACACAACTTGGCCTTAAACGCGGAGGCGAACAGGAACCACGCTGGGCAGAGGTGAGCTTCGCCCGCCTGTTTCAGGCCGCATCCAGTCTGCAGGGAGCACTGAACAAACACTGGTTCGGGGGCGAGACATTGCACACCGCCGGCCGGATGTGAGGACTCTGACTTTCTGATACTCGTCTTCAAGTTTGGGTGTTTTTATGGACTCTTCTTTGCTGCTGTCTGCCTTGCGAGGCAGGGAGCTCTTGTCCAACACTGTCAAAGGAAAGCCAGAATGTGGGTGTGTTTGGTAAAGCTTGCTGCTGGTTCCCCGCACCGGTGACCTCTGTGCAAGGGAGGCTTCCTCTGCCCTGTGTATTAGGTGATGGTAGAGTGCAGGAGTGTCATTTTGGCTGCTAGTTAAAAATTATGCTAGTTAAAAATGATGCCTGGGATTGATGACTAAATGTACTTTGGGTATCTTCCAGAGCAGAGATGCTCAATGCCTCCACATTTTTAGCAATGAAAAGCATTCAGGTAGCTTAAATCCATGGGGTTACTTGTTTTCTTCATTGGTTACTGTTTATTTCATTTCACCCTCTGTGAGAGAAAATCACAAAGAAATCTGACCTCTTCAGTCATTCCATTGGGCACCAGTTGCAGCTCTCTCACATGAAGTTGTTCTTTGTTATTACCATCAATAGAAAAAAATTAAACCTTCCTGGAGTTGCTGTTGACTAGTAGTTTCTGCTACTGTTTGCTTCCAGTTCAGTGTTCTCAGTGCCCATGAGCCAGCATGAAGCCAAAAACCATGCAATATGACACAAGTGTCATTCTTCTACAGTGCTAATGTATATGTTTTTACTAGTTTTATGATGGGTGTTTATTTTTTTTTGTCTTTCTTTTCTTTTACTATAGTGTGGTTGATCAGGAAGGCTTAGATCCCAGGCATCCAATGGTTTTGCTTCAGGATTTGACAGGGAAATTAATTAGTATCTAGTCTGATATGTACACTGTACAAGCAGTCTGTCCATTACTCTACTATGCAGTGTTTGGAGGCTGCTGTAGGCTTATATTGACTAGCAGCAGTAATATTACTTAAAGGGAGATCTTCTAGCAGTTCCCAGTTTGTATGCACTCAGAAGTTTGTCCATATGGCTGACACTATTGGACCAGCACAGGGAAATTAACCTACCAAAAGGAAGTAGCTTTAAATATTGATAGCTACTTTTCTGTAGCCTTAAATATATTTAGTTCACAAACCCAGTGACAACTAGGGTAAAACACAAACAGAAAAGCAATACAGATTTTATTTTTTTTTACCATTTCCATACTGCCACTGCACCTTGTTCTATGTCTCAGATGATACAGGCAGCGTGAGGCAGAGCTGTCCAGAGAATGGCTCTTCAGTTGTGTTACAAATGTTGACTGCAGGTGTTGAGAAATCCTTCTACTCTTGGTCCACTCTGAAAAATAAGCATTACTGTACGGAAGAGTAGTTTACTTGCACATACTCTTTCCTTCTCCACCCCTCTCTGCATATTCTTCTCTAATTCATGCTTTCTCTAGTAGTTGTGTAATCTTATCATTGCACTGTAGTGTCTGGTAACAGTTTGCTGAACAGAATTGAATTTGGACCTTCTCCCTCTCTCCCAGCCCTATTCTCTTAATTTGCATCCTGCTCTACTGTGGCAAAATGTACTTTAGCTCTCTGAAAGAGGTCCCTAAGCCTTTTTCACTTTCATATACTCACAGGCACTCTCCTTCAACATAAGGAGAGTTTATGTGAGAAAAACTTTTTTTTCTCCTTTTATGTTATTTTTCTAGCTAGAGCTAGAGTAATATGTTTGTCCATGATGGTTAATAATTCATGTAAATGAATCTCAAGTAATATTTTGTGGGGTGGGTTTTATGGAGAGGGAGGGTGGGAGGGTTTTTTAGCGGGGGTATTGTTTTTGGTTTTGTGTTGTTTCTTTAAGCATGTGCACTACAGAGTTACCCGGAGTGATCTAAGTGATCGCTGTTGCTGACTTTGCTGCAGCAGTGTGGAAGCCACTCTCTGCCCATGTTGACAGAGACGAGGCTTTCCATACTTTGCTTTGCACAGTCTGCTTGATGTAAACGCTGGTCATTGGAGAAAGAGGACTTAAATGGTTGGGAAAGCCTGAGGGGTAGTGCAAGCACAGACTGAACTAGGGACTCCTGAGGAGCTGAATGTTAAGGAGAAGACTCTTAAATGAGAAGGTCTTTAAGAGGCAGGAGTGCAGAGGCTCAGGAAGCAATGTAGCAATGCTGCCTCCCTGCATGGCATGCCCTAGGATGTGATGCTTGCATTTTCCCGCTGGTTGCCAGGACCCCTTTATCAGGAACAGTCAATGCTACATCATAACAGCCCTGCAAACTATAAAAATTCAGCAACTGCTTCTGACACTTAAAAACCATTGTGACCTTTCCCCTTCCCCTCTGCCTTGACTTGACGGCCAAACAGGCTAATAAGGCCTGTCTTCTGGATCAGTAAGCTGGAAAGATAGGTCTGGTACTGGTGCTTTCTGTTCTTGTGACCCAACCAGTTTATCTAGGGCAAGACTCTTCTTAACATGGAGAAACAAGTACCTGAAATGGTTCCTCAGTCAGGCTACCTGCTTCAATAGATTCATTTGGCTCAGGGAAAGATACATCTTTGCCAGTCCGTATTTCCCAGACTTATCAAAATTGGTCATGCCAGGGTCTCAAGTTAAAATCTACTTGAACAACAATACTTCATTGGAGACATAGAGCTAATGCTAGACAAAGGCCGACTTCCTGCAATATGTGTGTTGGTTACTGGTGCCAGAGATTTACAACCACTGATAATATATTTTAATTATATTTCATATCTGCATATCTTGGAGAAAGGAAGTATGCTCTGTCAACCCAAAAGTCTTACTTTGCTTCATGTAGATTTGGAGGGGCAGGCTGGTTATTCAGATATAGAAAAGCAACTACTTCATACTTACAGTCTCACTTACTTGAGAAAATAGTGGGAAAATTTCACACATTTATCAAAAAATACACAGATGCACAGCACCCATGTATGTGTCACCCATTCTCTGTTACTAAGGCCTCTTGAGCACCCACTGAGGAGATCTTGCCTGCAGAGTAGCTATTGCAGTGTGGCCATGGACATGTCAGTTATTTGGGGAAACAGTTCCAAAGAACATGGCTTATATCCTGTTGGTGAACGATTATGCTCAGGTTTTTAGGTATTAGTTCATTTTGGTGAAAAGAATGGGACACTGTTTCTCTCTGTAAAACTACAGTCTAACAATTTAGAAAAAAGAGTTGAATCTTTCTTCTAAAACAAATGCCTATTTTAATGAACAGTTCTTAAGAAAAGCTTGACCTGCTGTTGATGGTACCAGCAGCCTTGAAATATCTTGCTTCCCTTCCCCAGATCTCCAAAATTGCTTCAGACCTCACCTCTCTTTCCTGGAGGGATACCGTTCTTCCTATCCTTTCCCAACTGCCCACCCTTTTGAATATCTTGTAGCCTGCCCATTCCAGGATCCTGCAAGCCTGGTGCTAATAGGGAATAGTTAGCTTTAGTTTTATTTCCTGCAGTTCTTGAAAGCTGAGCCAGTAATCACAAAGTGACTGCCCAGGGATAGCTGCAAACTGCTGCAAATAGGATACAACAAAGGCAGGGGAGAGGATGAAACTGCATGGAAAGGGTTGCTGATGGATCTGTGTAGGGCTGCAGCCTTCTCTCAAGGTGCTGATAATCCCTGGTAGTACTGAATTCCTGCATAACTGATCACATATCTCAGTTTAAATAGCTGGTTGTTATTAAATATTTGTTGACTAAACTCTTGTTCGAGGAGTCCTGAAAGAAACTTCCGTATCATCCTTTGTTTTGGAGCTGTGTATCAACAAGAGAATAGAGGCGAGGAACTTAATCTTTCTTGATGTAGAAAGGGTGATTGCAAAGGCATCTTCCTTTCTACTGGCTGTTTACTTTGTCCTCTCAAGCCTGGATATGGGCAATGTGTGCATGTGAGGTTACTGCAGTGCTGGAGTTGCTCCATGGCAGTCACTGGAGCTGTACCCAAGGTGGAACTTCATTCGGTGTGGCACTTGGCATTCTTTTGGGAAACAGCAGATTCTAACCATTAATAGACTAGGGAGAAAGGTTGCTTTTTTTTTAAAGAAAAAGCAAAATTACTTGAGGCAGTTATTGCAAAGTGGCCCTGTCAACTCTACAATTAATTCCACCCTTCCACTGCTAGTCCTGTCCCATATCTCTGCTGAACTTGTGGGAATGGTGAGACTGTGACATGCTGAATGGTGTGCTATGTAAAGGGAAAAATAGAGAAAGCACTCAGTATAAGTGCTAGAATCAAAGGAGAATGCAGATTTGTGGAGGTCTTGCCTTGTTTTGCCAGCAGTATTTACTGCGGGATTGTAAGTAAAAGAACCATAGAGTGCCCATTCATATTCATGGGAGCTCTGCACATGAACCGAGCATTATTGAGTATTAGCATAATTTGACTACAAAGGTTTTAATAATGTCTTTCAAAAGAGTCTGTTTTTCAAACTGGCATTTGTGATCATTTGCAAAAATGCCTACCTGTTGCCTTTGTTTTAGCAAGAAGAAATACCTCAAGGAATTGATAAAAGGTCCTAGGACAATCTTTTACAGTTCCTAAAGACTTCAGTGGTCTCTGTTTCTTTGGTTTGCATGTGTTCACGCAGGTGTTACACAGCTCAGTTCTTCTCCACCAGGAAAAGCAGAAAAGACCAAACACATCAATGCACTGGAATGTAGTTGTGTGTGTGTGCGCATGTATGTGGGTGTGTGTTCTTGAACTGAATGCAGTCTGACATCCCCTACCCCTTCTTTCTTCCACGTGCCTCACCTTCCCCCTTAGCCACAGAAAGGAGGGTCTCTTCCTGTGAATCCCATGCTGGAAGTTGGTTTCTGGGAAGCAAAACCTAATGTCTGTGGGCTGTTTTTTAAAGCCATGTTTCGGTTCTGTCTTCAGACTCTGTGCTGCCTTTGGGGAATGGAGGGGTGGGAAGGGTAGATTCTTAAACTGTTTTTAAAATCTATTATGGAAATTTTGCATGTATAAAGTTATTCTTAAATCTAAAGGAGTCTCCCCAGTTTGTGGACACAGCTCCAGGAGAGCATCATCACAGATTCCTCAACTCAGTTTTTGATCAGACTGTTGTGAAAGAAGTATTTGATGACAAAACGGGGAGAGACTAGTGCATTGGAAAAACAACATTGTCAGGATCTCCTTAAATACATGTCAGAAGTTAGGCTTGTAAAAGGGAAATTTCAAAATAACGCAAGGGATTTGTGTGTCTGTTTCCACTGTGTGCATTTGAAAATCCTGCCACTAAATTTGAGTTTGGGTATGTAGATGTTGGGGATTTTTTTGGTTAAATTAATCATGTATCTCTTCTGTTCTCTTCAATGGTATGTAGTACAGTCTCCCATGTTTCTAGGTGAAATTCACTGATGAAAATACTGTGAAATATGAATTCACATTTTCTTCCCCCTTCTTTCATGCCTCCTGCTTCCTGCATGACTTTTCTACTTTGGTGGGATACTTTAAAAAAAAAAAAAAAAGGCTTGAGAGTCCTTCATCTGGAAAACAAAAAGGGTAAGGTGAGCTAGAATTTGCAATGTACTTAATAAACTTCGCCTCAATGAAGGGTTTCCCCATGACTTCTGATATTCACCAGAATATGATACTGTCCTGCTGCAGAAGTAAACCCGATGCTCTCCTGTGAGATTTCTGTCTGGATTAGTCCTGAAGTGCACACACCTTCTTTGCCATGGACTGAGACCCAGTGAGAATGTAGCATTTTGTTTATTTTGGTTGTGTGCCTCCAGGACTCCTGCCTGTACCAATGGTGACTGGGCAGAGCTCCTTTTGTTTTTGTATCTGTGCAGTATATTTGCTTTGTGCTTTCTTCTTTGGTGCTTTTTAATACTTTAATACTTGGATTTTTTTTTCTAATAACTGGTACAATTTTTAATAAAATTGTTAAATTCTTTGTCTATGTTCTTTGTTTTATTTTCTAATGGATAGAGGGCATTTACACAGCCAGCCCATTCTGGAGTTATCCAAATCAGTGATAAAATTTGTGTTGTTCAACTTCGAAAATATCTGGTAGATCATTTTATGTGCACCCTAATAACAAGCCTTGCAACAAAGACAAGATTTCCTTTCCAGATTGGACTGCTTTCCTAGGGCATAATTCGATTTATAAAATAGTCTTTCAAGAAGATATATTCCCATGCTTGGACAGAGAACTGCTGCTCCTTGGAGTTGCACGGTTAACTTGCTGCTTCAAATCAGGAAGCTCTTGTTAAGACATACATGAGGTGCATCCTCTGAATTTGCAAAATGTGAACTTTAATTGATGACTGCTTTCCTACTGCCTACGCAGGTACATTCAAAAGCATTGAGACCTTGAGAATAAACACTCATTGCTTGGCGATCCTACTGAGGAAGTATGGTTCTCACTGGTCTTCTGACGTAAAGGCAGCAGAGGAAGGTGGTCATGGCTTTGAGAGTGCTTGCAGAGTGGTAATGACTCCTTCAAACACAGCCATGAGAACGTCTCGGCCATCCCAGGCACAGCAAGACACGTGTTTTCGTAATCATCAGGCCTGTCCTTAAGTTTTCCTCTGTTCCAATAAAGAAAACCCACCTCCATTAAGTAACAGTAGTTAACCTGGGTGGAGCAGCAATGGTGATGTGTGTATCGTGAATTATTTGTAATATAGCTGGTCAAATTCCTTCAACCACGTTCCTCCTCCAGTGCAATGCTGCCACAGTGTTCATGGGAGGCTTTAGGGAACTGAGTTAACAATCCTACCCGATGTTAAGTTGCCTCGGCTGGTGTGTGCATGTTACAAAAGGGCCTTTCATTCCAAGAACACATGATGTGTATGGTATGAAAAGCCACATGTGCATCTAAGACCACAGGGGGAAAAAGACAGTTTTTCTTTTCATTGTATTAGATCTAGTGAGAAGTGTGTCCCCTGGCCAGCCTCATGTGACCATGAAAGAAGCTGTTGTAACACCCTGATACGAGGGGACAGACATGAGATTGACTTAGATGGCAGGCTTGGCTCTGAATTTCCTCATTTTCATGTGGTTAAATTCTCACCATTACTTAAACTCTCACTCTTAAAAGCTTTAATAATTCTTGTACTGAAGAATGGCTTTTAAAAAAGGAATGGTTTGTAATGCTACCCCAGATGCACCTTGCTCAAAGCAAAGGCAAGTGCACAGATGTATGGACAGCCTCCCTTCCTTTGAGATCTCCCAGATTAATCTTGGCTCTTTGGTTTGGCTCTGTCATGACCTGCTGTCTGTCACTCACCTGTGACAAAAGAGACTTAGGAAAATGGAAACATTTTCAGGGTTAGGCATCAGGACCAAACACTACAGGCTGGAACATTCCTATTGCAACATTAATACCATTTTTTTTGTGCGTGTGTAGTTTGAAAGAAACTGGATATCCTAGAAAATGTGCTTTAGAAAAGCTTTTTTTCTTAAAATACTAAGCCTGCATACTAACAGGGCACTTTCAATTTATTTCCAGCCATGGCCCCTCACTTTCTGTGCTAACATGACTAGCACTTTAAGAGAAAATTAGTTTTGTTATTAACTTCCTAGCTGTATGCTGTAGGGACAAGGTAAAAAGTTTAAGTAGGATTACTACTTCAAGGAAAAAATGTTTATCAAGAAGTGCTCAGCCTGTCTCGTTAAAAATAATAAAGCACTCTGAGGACGAGAAAGTTCCTTGGTTGCGCAAGCTACTGCACAAAGCACTCTATTTTCATGACTCCTGCTGCTGAAGTTTAGAAGCCACTATAGTGTATGGATTGGGGAATATTTTTCAAGCACTCATAATATTGTTTTTTGGTGCAGTAAATGTGCCGGTCCTCAGTCTCTGCAATGTATATGCAAGCTTGGAAACAGCTCTACTAAGCAGCTTTCTCCTTGTGCTCTCATACCTGAGTAATTCAGATAAGATACAGCCCCATTTCCTTCTTTTGCTCACACCCCCCACCCCCATTTCTATTTGTGGAGAGATGGGGATAGAGAAGGAAAAAGGCATCCTAAAAGCAATTTTTTACAGATTTGGGAGGTTGGTGTTAAAATGCAAGAGCTGCAATTGTTTCATTGTTCATATCGCTGGTTCCTGTTGAAAGGTTGAACTGAAAGAAACCTGTTTCCAACAGGAATCTAACAAAGAGTGGACAACAGTTTCTGGTAGCGAGTTGTCTTCCACCTGACATGATGCATGGTACCCTAACACGTATGAAGTCTGACAACAAACCACCAGGCATGACACATTGACATCAGTATTCATATTCCTCTCTGTAAGTCCTTTAAATCTTGATTTCTCTTAAATGAATTATGTTCTCTGTAACGTTCATAATGGACTCTTTTCTTTCTCCATTAAAGTCTGTGTCAGCATTCTCCTTCTCTGTGTTTTGCCTGAAGGCTCTTGATGTATACAAAGACTCCTCTGTTTTCTGCTCTTAGTCACACGCTTTCACTCTTAACCTCAGTGCTATAAACCAAACATCCACCCACTATGGCTGGAGATGACCCTGTTTACGTCTGCTGCTCAAATCACGACAGCAACAGTCATGAAACTTTGTTTTCATGGACACAGTTAGCTCTTAATAAGAGGACAATGAGGCTTGACTTCTTACAACACTGCAAGTTCTTGCAAAAATTTCAACAGAACTAAATAGTTGGGAAAAGTTAACAGAATCTGTAAAGAAATGGCTTGTTTCAATCATTTTACTTCACCACCTTTTTGAATTACTGTATATGATTCGTTGTAGCAGTCCACTGTGGTATTGGAACATACCAATTCAATCTGAGACAGCAAGGGCACAAGTACCAAAGTGGGGCTTATGTTAGTATTTCAGGTCTGGCCATAGTGATCAGCCTGAACCACAACTCTCTGCAATGCCAGCAGTGAGCGTAGAACAGCAGATCACCCACACCATTGAGAAACTCCCATTTTTGGATGCCTTTGGTAGCAGACTTACTGCCATGACTACTAAACAGGGACTGTTTGAGAGGACAGCTCTTCCTAAGGAGACCACCAGTCCACAGGAAGCATGGTGAGCAGTGACAGGTTTGAGAAGATGAGAGAAAGGGGCAGGAACACTGCTAATTCAGTGTGGGACAACTTTTTTTGCAGGTGGCTCGAACAGGCTGTCAAGCTGTAGCCAGGTTAACCTCTGTGCAAGCACAACTGGCCAAAGTGCGTACTGGGAGCAACGTGCAATTCTCCTTGAGAGGCTGCTGCTCTCCTGGCTGGGTCTCAGTAGGTGCTGCTGGAGGCAGAGCCATCCTAGAGGAGGGTGGCTGCTTGAACCACGCCCTGCTCCCCATGGTCACCTGCTGCACTCCACCTTCCTTGTTGCAGAATCACAGAGTGGGTAAGGTTGGAAGAGACCACAGTAGGTCATCTGGTCCAACTTCCCTGTTCAAACAGGGTCATCCTAGAGCACATGGCACAGGATTGCATCCAGACATCTTGAATATCTTGTGTAAGGGAGACTTCACAACCTCTCTGAGCAATCTATTCCAGTGCATGGTCACCCACACAGAAAAGAAGTTCTTCCTCATATTCAGGTGGAACTTCCTGTGCGTCAGTTTCTGCCCTTTCCCTCTTGTCCTGTTGCTTGGCACCACTGAGAAGAGCTTGGATCCATCCTCTTGTCACCCTCCTTTCAAATACTTACAGACGTTGATAACTTACCTCTCAGTCATCTCTTCCTGAGGCTGAACAGGTCCAGCTTGCTAAGCCTTTCCTCATAATAGAGATGATCTCTTGTTGCCCTCCACTGTACCTGCTCCAGGAGCTCCACGTCTCTCTTGTACTGAGGAGCCCAGAACTGGACACAGCTCTCCAGAGGCAGCCTCACTAGGGCTGAGTAGAAAGGCAGGATTACCTCCCTTGACCTGCTGGCAGTGCTCTTCCTAATGCACCCCAGGATACCATTGGCCACAAGGGCACACTGCTGGCTCATGGACAGCTTGTTGTCCATCGGGACCCCCAGGTCCTTCTCCACAGAGCTGCTTTCCAGCAGGTTGGCTCCCAGCCTGTGCTGGTGCCCAGGGTTGTTCTTCCCCAGGTGCAGCAACCTGCTCTTGCCTTTGTTGAACTTCAGAAGGTTCTTCTCTGCCCATCTCTCCAACCTGTCGAGGTCCTTCTGAAGGGCTGCACAGCACTCTGGGGTATTGGCCACTCCTCCTAGCTTTGTCGTCAGTGAACTTGCTGTCATCATTTGGCAAGAAGGTGTTGAGATGCTGTCATTATAAAAAGGATTTCAATGTCTTCTAACAAGTCTTCCATGTTACCCTGCCCATCACTTCCAGTACTGGGGCAGCAGCTTCCTGGTGCTCCCCACACCACTCCCCTTTACACAGGAAAGCCCAGAGCTTCACAGCTGTCAGCCAGCTTTCCCGGTCTGCTCAGCACTTGCACACAGCACTCCTTTGACAGGACAGGGTCACAGAGCTCATTTTTCCTGTCAGTGCAAGCATGCTCCCCATGGAATATTTGCTGGCACTTTCATTAGTCTAATTTTAAATATCCCAAGTGAATGACTTTCTACATTTTCCCTTGAGAGACTACTGTACCTACTAATAAATCTTACTGACAAAAGGTTTTCCCCAATATCCGTCCTAACTTCTTTTTCTCTTAATTATATTCCAATACCCTAGTTGTACATCCTTGTGTCACTTTTCAAGGAAACCTTACCAAAGTCATTTCTATAACTAAGGTACCCCAGAGCTCACTGAACTCCTTGGCAAAAGCTCCTGCTGACTTCAATGTACTTGCAGCCAGCTTTCATGCAGAGCTCTGCCTTCCCCCTCAGTGCAAGCCTGTATCCCTAGAGCAGCATGGTGTGGTATAGCAAGGCTCAGTGTTGCCACCCAGCCCTTTCTGCTGCCCTCATTCCCTTTCTGCCTGGGACCACCAAAAACTTCAGTGAGTGTAAAAAAATGGACAGGATGTATAATCCAAGATATTTTTCAGGCTTTCTGAGGTGCCCAGCTGCCCTGCTTGCTGGCAGTGGCTCCCCCAGTGGGTCCGGCAGCCCGTGGGATTCAGGGCTGAAGCTCCAGTAGGATGGTTTGGTATGTATGTCTTGGGAGCAGCTCACCTGGGGACAGAAACCTGGCTCCACCACCCAAGTACTTCTGGTCTGGCAGCCTGGCTGTATCCCTGCATGGCAGTATCCCTACCTGGGGTTACACTAGTAACAACAACATGACATTCATTCCTGCAAAGTTGGATATAGTAAAGCATTTCCCCTTCACTTCCTTCTCTGTATGATTGTGACTCATGGTTCTTGGGAGCTGATAATAGGGGAATCCAAACAGTGCTTTGAGTTGTGCCTAAACATGAACAAATACTTAATCGATCAGGGATTTATCAGAAAAAGAAATGTTTGCTGAGGTAAGCTGTTAAATTGGAGCTGACATGCTCATGTCATATCATGTAGTCCTTATGCCTGCATCTGAACTAGGCCTCTTTTCCTTCAGGTAGCCTCATCCACAGAAGCAGAACCAAACCCTTTCTCTCTCCCACTGCAGTAGTTCACTTGCCCTTTGGAAAAGAAGAACCAAAACAGAGTATCCAGCTTTGTACCAGCTGCCCATGAAGTTGGCCAGGGTGAGTTTCCCTTGCTGGAGGAGGGTTACCGCAGCCGACATCCACAGTAGAGCTCTCCTTGACATGGTAGATGTGGCTTATAATTTATAACATCCAATCTGTTGTGATGTTTAGTTAAAGGTGCTTGGAGTCAGTCAACCAATTTGGCACTTTATCAGAGCAGATACAACAGAGAAAGGAGGAAGGTGGGCAAAGGGATTATTACTCCTGGTTTTCAAGTTCTCTTGTAACATAAGGCATAAAATTAGATCCATCAAGGGGCATAGGTGCTCACTTATCCCTTTTGAAACTGAAGTCCACCCATACAGTCTCATCCAGCTGCTGCCTAACCCTGGAAGGGGTCTTCACATTCCCCAACAACCTAAAATTCTGCTGGAGGCACTGAATGTCTCAGGACCAATCTACTGTATGATCTTCTAAGCTGGTGATTTTTGCCTCTCTCATTTGAGATAACCTGCTGGGGCAGCTTGCTTCAGAGTATGCCACCAAAGCAGGGTTCACAAAAGGTGCAGGGAAGGGTGATCCTTTCTCTGCTATCAGCCAATAGCTCTCATTTGAACACTCACCCAGAGTTGTCATCTGTGGCCAGATGGGATCTGAGCCTGGTGCTCTCTGTTCCCCAAGCGGTGCCCTACACATGCGACTGGTCAGGATGGGTTGCTCTAAACTCCTCCAGTCGTATTTGTAACACTTATATATTTCGGAGGCCAGAGAGCAGGGAAAGAGAGTGAAAACAATCATCTTAGGGCTAGCAAAAGCATGGCTTGAATGTAAAATCTGTGACCCTGTTTACACTCAGTTGAATTTGAGGATTCAGTCTTTGAACCAGGTTGAGAGAGAATACCTCCTTGCGAGGTATTCAAAGTCTGGAGAGAAGTGTTTTATTGACAGTCTTCTCATTTTCTTTGTGCCTCAGTGTCTCTCCCAGCTGATTCTTGGTGAGGGCAGCAGCCTGGATGTCTTTTGCTCTTAGACATCTGCTGCTTTTTACATTGCCTCAGGGGCAGCTCAGGCACCCAGTTTAGGGTGGTGGAGCTGGTGGAGCAACTAGGCACCTAAAAGTTGGGTCTTGCAGAGCTCTAAGTTGGGATATTAACTTCCCTTTGTCATTATGCTTCTACTTGCTCATTACTGTGCAAAACAGGGTAGTGCATTTTGTTAATCTCAGAATAGACAGTTCTATAATGGGACATTACTTCTGTGCATTGCACTTCTTTGTCTGTGATAAGATATGGTTTCTAATGTCTCCTTTTTTTTTTTTTTTAGTTGGTGCTTGTCCAGAGCACTTCTTCATCTTGCCAACTAGTGATTAATTGGCTGTACTGAAAGGTTCAACACTTTTCTGTACGTTTACCAGAGGAGGTAGAGGAATGCGTGCTCTATCTAGAGTAAAAGCATGCCCTAAGTGGGTTTAAAAATGGGTCATCACTTGCTCATTTTAGAATCCGTGCCCTTAAAACACATAAGGAAAGGTGCCCTACCTTTTGAATACAATTTTTTTAACAACTTCACTTGAAATTTCCACTGAGTAGGAATCTCAGTGTGAAGTTCAGAGACTTCTGTTCATCTTCAGGTAAAGGCAGTACAGACAGCTCAAGCGCAAACTTCCTTGTGCTATGCTGGTGTTGTCAGCTGTCATAAAGGATGTGGTTTTGACCCTTGCTGGAGGAATTTCCATGCTGATTATACAATTTTTTCAGAGGGAAAATATTTACTAGAAACAGAGGGCTAAGCAGGGCCTTCTCAGCCATAGTTTCAGTTCCA